CTTTAAAAAATCTCGGTTAAATCATTGATTCTAAGCTTAAATTCGATAAGCGTATAAAAGCAAAATTTCAAAAAGCCCATTCTTCTTTTAAATTAATTTGTTCACATAGAATTGCTTTAAATGTTGAAACGAAGAGAATGCTTGCCGATTTGCTGGTATTGTCACACTTTAATAATTGTGATACGGTCTACGGTTAATTTCTGCGTTAAATTAAAAAAAATATATTGAATTCAAAAAGTACAGAATAGCTGTCTTCGTTTGAATTATGGTATTGGAAGAAGACATAGAATTTCACTCAAACTAAAAGCTGCAAAGTGGCTTAATATGTATAATCGGCGCAGGTCTGTGTTTATTTTATAAAATTTTAAAATCTGAAACACCCGAGTATTTGTGTAATAAAATTAGGTTTAGAACTTATATCCACAATATTAATTTTAAGAAAGAAAGTATTACTATACCCTTCCACATTAAAGTCATTTTTAAAAAATCATTTACCTATCAAATTGCAATTTCTGGTCATCTACTTAATTTAGATATAGGTACCTAGATTCAATCTGTCTGTAACTGGGTTTAAGAATAAATGCAAGAACATAATTTTTAGTGAACATTCATCATAAATTTATATTTTTATTATATATATTTATACTTTAAGTTAATTTGTGGTTTTTATTAATTTTTCTAATTAGAACCATAAGGTCAAAGTGGCAGAATCGGTCTCTGGACCTAGCATACATATACATAATATGTGCTTTGGCAAGTACCTAATAAATAATAATAATTATTATTAAAAAGTATTTAATAATATTGTTCATAAATCAATGTCGGTGAATAAGGATTTACTCTTTCAGTAACACAGTTCCAGCTTTGACTGGCATTATAAACTAATTGCCACAAAACTTAAACTTAATAAAAAAGCCTGCAATATAGAGTAAAATTTCGATACAATGTTTTCCTAACAGCATCGCCTACCTACTTTAAGCGGCATGCATAATAAAAGCGGAAAACCATTAAAAAAAAACACTTTCCATATTTTTCTGGACGCAATTTTCAGTTTATGACTAATACCACCGTTTTTCAAGCACAAAACACCTATATAAAACACTTAATTAAAAAACATGAATGTGTAAGTAGAGCTATTAAATTTTGTTTCAAATTAAAAAGCTTAAAAAAATAGACCATTAATTTTTTAATTATTTTATGAAACTACCGATTACACATTAAAAATAATTTTCTGGTAATATTTTTTTAAAGTATATTTTTACTTTGAATACTTTTATTTTAAAATCTTTTTAGGGCAGTTGGTGAATTGTTCTTTACTTTAGTTCTGATTTCCGGTCAAGAGAATAGGCAGTAATGACCGTCTAGTGCTGTGTTTAAATGACCCTTAGCATCATTTCCTTGGCTTAAGTACAAACTAAGGGCAATATCACGAATTTCCAGGGAGTGAAAGTTAGGATTTTTAAAGTGCTGTAGATTATTCGAGAGTAAATTGTAAAATAATAGGTCAGACACTCCTTATCAGAATAAAACCGACCCTTTTTTCCTGGAGCTTGTTTGACGAAGGTAATTCGTTTTTTTTATTATTATTACGTTCTGTTGTCTTTCAACTACTATTTTTTTGTGGTATTGTTTTCTTTTATTAAGAACTATTGCCCTGCTTAGCGATATAATCAAAATGTTTTAATTTAGATAATTTGTTTTCAATTTAAGAGGGAACAACAATAAATATAGTATATTGTTAATTAATACTAATTCTTGCTGGTGTTGCCCATGTTGTCATATGTGGTGTAGTTCTTTAGGCAAATTAAAAATTGGCTAACTCTTTATTAATATCTAGAGTATATTTGGAATGCAAAAATTTCCTTAAGTCATTTTTAACTATTTTACCGGAGTTTTCAGCAGCTCTGTTGGACATTGTGCATAGAAAAAAGGTGTACTATATTTAAGATGAATGGTCTTATTTTCAATGCTTTGTTGTGTTTGTATATCCGCAAGTAAAACTCGTCTCGATTTAAAATTGGAGTCATACTTGTTCAAAAATAGTTAGTAAGCCTTGCTTCAATATTAAAATCAACTTGCCCTAACTAAAATACCTCTAATTAAATGAAGAGTATCTATTGCTCAATTGCAGTATTATTTATTTATTTAACACACAACTCAACAGTGATAACCATTTAACGGGTGGGAAAAACAATATTAAGAGAAATGTTGATTATAAAAACTGTAAAAAATAGTATTATAATAATAATAATAATAATAATAAAGGTATTTCATATTTTACAGATCAATTTCAATATAAGTTTGTATTGTGAATTACATTAAATGAGTATCGATAATTATGAAGAAAGCCGAAGATCAGCTGTATACGTCCTCAAGCGTATGGCAAATAAAAGCTAATATACACCCTAAGCCCTGCGGGTAGTATTTGTAACTGAACATAATTTACCAAATCAATGCTGTCTATGACTTTTCAAAGTAGTGTTATTTTCTGAAAAGTTCGACGTTTCGCCAGATCTGAGATTTTAAATTGTGTTTATAGCAGATCATGAGGAAAGCCTATTAGGGGATATATACCATCTAATATAAAAGAAGCCGATTTCATAAATTTTCTTTGAACCTTTTCGATTAGGTCAATATGTACATTTTGTATAGTACTCCATATCTCAGATGCATATTCAAGTTTCGATCGAACCAAGCTGTTATATAAGATTTTTATTGTGGACATATCTAAGAATTCTTTGCAACTTCTTATGACAAACCCTAGTGTTTCTTTTGGCAGATGACACCATTGATTCAATGTGTTCAGTGAAGGTAAGTTCAGGATCAAAATATACCCCCAGATCTCTTACAAACTCAGGCCTATTGAGAATAATATCATGCAATGTATAATTAAAAGTAGAAGCAGTTAATCGCCTGGTAAAGGACATAACCGAACATTTTTCTGGATTTAATGGAAGTAAACTATCCTGACACCAATCCGCTATACGATCCAGATACTTCTGTAAAAGTTTGCAGTCATTCGTTGAATGAACTTCCACCAATAATTTTAGATCATCTGCATACATTAAGACCTTTATATCATTGATGTTTAGTACAATATCATTCAAAAATATATTGAATAAAAGAGGCCCCAAAATTGATCCCTGTGGTTCTCTTTATTACTGCTGGAATTTTTATGACTTATAACCATGGCACTGGACATACTGATGTTTGTCTTGTAAGTAAGAAGTTAACAGCAGATGTAGCTCCGTGCTTAAACCTATGGAGGAAAGTTTTTTGAGTAAGATGGTATGGTTAGTTCTGTCGAAAGCTTTAGAAAAGTCATATTACATCTACTTGACTCTTTCTATCTAGGGCCTCTGATTTAAACTCCGCGGAACAAATAGGATATACTATATAAAATTGATGAAATTCTCTATCTGAGAATAAGCTACTTCAGCCGAACTAAGTTTTTTTTGGCAGTATTTGTTTGTATATAATCTTTTGTTTTAGTTCTAGTATGATAATATGGCCAGGTGTTTGCAGGTAAGTGCGGTTTTGAAATAAATGAATGATTAGACTAAAAAGATATAGCTGCCTCAAAGACATTATACTTACTACTTTAAAAAGAAGATTAGTGTTAAATCTTACATTTTTACAATATATAATTTTTAAAATTTTTCGTTGTAAGATTTCGACCTTTTCTAGATGACTTGGCAATATACCTCCCCAACTTATAATGGCATATCTGAGACGCTATTCCACAAGTGTATGGTAAATCGTTTTTAGATGTGGTAAGTTCAGTATTGTTCTTATATATTTAAATTTATATAATAAAAACCTTAACTTTTTAGCTACGTCCGATAAGTGTGAGGCCCATCTTAAATGTGAATCTATTTTTACATCAAGATATTTAATTTCAGATTTTAAAGAAATTTAAGTAATCATATTGTTGTCCGTAATAGTAATTTTATTATAAAGTGGTAATTTGTGTTTATAACTGGTAAACGGAACGATATAGGTTTTATTGTAAATAACCGTAAGCATTTGGTGTTTAAATATATTAGATGTTTTTTTTTTACATCAGTTTCTATTCTATTTTTTCAATTTTCCTACGTTTTGTCACTATATATTACAGCACTGTCGTCTGCAAAACCAATTACCTTTCCCGAAGAGTTAAAAGAAAATATATCGTTAATGTAAAAATTAAAGAGGATTGGTCCCAGTACGGTACCTTGAGTAACTCCAAACGATATATCTTTTTCTCTACTGAGTTTTCCATTTATCCTAACGGTTAGTTGAGTAGTCTTCGAAAAATTTGTATGGGAGTCTCCTTATCCCTGCATCATCTAAGACGTCTAACAACTGCGAATGACTTACAGTATCAAACGCCTTAGCTAAGTAATAATACTCATATTTATATAACTTATTCATGCTCGTCTTATAGTAACACTATGAATAATTTAAATAAGTCAGTTTACGCATACTATTTTTCACAAGAAGCTAGCAAAAGTACATCAGTTCAAGGAAACAGAGCTAGGAATCTAAGTTGGAAAGATTTTGCCAGTCTTTCTTTTCTTTTTTCTCTCTCGTCTATAGTTTAACGAAAAACATTTTTTTCACGACGTTAAATAACCTCCAAAGCTTATTTTCGTGAGGAGAGGATACTGAAGCAACATATTAAACTAAATAACAGTAATACTTAATTTTAACAATTAATATCTAGTCACAAAATCCTAAAAATTAACTCTAAAGTACGTTTGATTCTCTAAGGGCCGTTTGCACCACTTCAACTTACGACTACTGTTTAGTTAAGGTGTACCTTGACTTATGGTGAACCTTAAGTTTGGTTTGTTTTGCATAGGTTTCACTTAACAAAATCTATGCTAAGGTGAAGAACATCTTGGCAGCAGTGTAAAATTTTAGATAATTTGTATATTACTAATCAATGTCAGTGTCATTGTCATCTATTTGATTAAAATTTGTGTTGTAATTTTGCATTTTGTACTTTAATAGTTAAAATGAAAAATAAAACAAAATTAAAAACTGAAACCAAGCGTGCGCCAAACTATTCAGTTAAGGAAAAGAGTTTATTATTAAACATTCTATACGATTTTAAGAACATCATAGAAAATAAGAAGACGGATTCTACCACTTGGCATGAGAAGGATGAAGCCTGGCAGAATATTACAAATATATTTAATTCGCAAACCGTTGATTGTCCACGCTCCAAAGATTCTTTAAGGAAATATTATGATAATATAAAAAAATCGGTTCGAAAGGAGGTAGTGAAAGAAAAACTTCATATAAAACAAACTGGAGGGGGGGTCGCAGAAAAAACTGAAGGAGATTGTACCAAAGATTTAGTATTAGGACTAATAAACGAAAAAACAGTATATGGACTAAATACCTCATTTGGTGGAGATACCAATGAAATACCGTCTAATATAGATGCCAAAGTGACAATGCCAGATCAGGTTGAAACTACAGAAGGTGCAACTTCTGCAGCATGTGAGAATCCTAAAAAAGGTTGTTACGGCATAGCAGATGAAAAGCCATCATGTTCTTTAAGTGTCACAGAAAAGGTAAAATATATTCTACTTTAATGAGTTTCACGAGAAATTTGACACAAAACTTTGAATTTGTGCTAAACATTTTTATTTATTTTAAGGACGATTGGGCTAATTTTTCTGCCAGTAAACTTAAAAATCCAGTGACTCCGCATCTTAAACAAAAGTGGACCAAAAGAAGGAGGCCCGGGATAGTGCAGCCAGCATCAAAACTTGAGGAAAAATATGATCATATAGCAAACATAAAGCAAGAATTATACCATCTCGAAAAAGAACACATTTTAAAGAGAGAGAAAAGGGAAGAACATATATTTAATCTAAAGAAAACAAAGTTAGAATTGGACATAAAACTTAGGGAGTTGGAACTCAAGAAGCATTTAGATGGAATTTAATAATTATAAATTTGTTTGTGAGAAATGATTCTAAAAGCCAGTCTTTTCACCTCTGAGTAAAGTTGAAAGTAACTACTTGCTGATTAAACTATAGGAATAATGTTTGTTAATCTGTCAAGTAAACCTACATGTAACTTTACTCAGAGGTGAAAAGTTCGACCGTAATTATAAAGTATATGATAGGTTTTGTTGAAATAAAGAAAAGTTAACGAAATAATAAGTTTGTATTCAAGCAAGTTATAAATTTTAAAATAACTTTAATGTTAATAAATACAAACACCATTATGCAATACTAGATATAATTTTATTGTATAAGATTGGCAAAGTACACATCAATTAAATTTCTTCTTGTTTGGATTCCGAGAGCACCACCAGCTTGAGCTGCTGCAATATTGGGCACTCTGTCTTCCATTATTTCTAAAAATTGATTAATATCTTCTGGGTCAGGAGGATCTTCTTCATTGTTACTTCTGCATATATTATGAAGTACTCCTTTTGCTATTACAATCATCATTGTGGTATCCAATTTTAACCTGCAACCGTATGCTAAAATTGGAAACATACGTTTCCACACGCCAATCAATCTTTCAACTGTATTACGAGTTCTAATGTGTGACTCGTTATACAGCTGCTCGCCCGCCCAACAGGATTTAACAGTGGTGTCAATAAATATGGTTTTAAATAATATCCACTGTCTCCTGAAAATTAACAAATTATTTGACTAAAGTCCAGGTATCTCATAAATGTACTGAAAAAAAAAAGTCCATTCATAAAACGCGTTTTATGAAAGGTACATTTTAGAGCAACACACCTACCCAATAAAACACAGTTGGGAAAGTAATTATTTTCAAATTGTTCCTTTACATTACTGTTGTTAAAAATAGTAACATCATGAGTAGACCCAGGCCATCTCGCAACAATATTTTGAAGTTTTAGGTCAGCACTGGCAATCACTTGTACATTTATGGAAAAGTAACCTTTTCTGTTCCTAAATATTTCTGCATCTTCTCCCCCTGTAAGAAAAATTAATTTAGGTATTATTTTGTAAATAAATTAGCCCGAATCAATTTTCTTTTCTACCTATGCGTTTTAAGCCCTTCCTCACTATATCTACTAACCTGGAGACTGAATTCGGATATGGGTACCATCAACTGTTCCAATTACTCGAGGAAAATCAGCTTTTTCATGAAAAGCCAATATGGCCCTATTTATGTCGTCTAATGTTCTAGGCATTTTAACAAATTGGTGATATAAATTGGCTATAGCCCTTCCAACCCTTACAGTTATTCTAGATACTGTAGAAAGGTGAACACCACCAAAATCTCCAATAGCAGAGAGATGAGTACCTGTGGCACAAAGTCTCAAAAATATTAATAATTGATTTATGGGAGCAACACTGTTATTTCTACAATAAAAATTATATTATATTTAAAATTAACAGACAAAATAAGTAAGTAGGTACTTACAGGTCAAAAGGATGTTCTACTGCTGGTTCTATTAAATGTAAAATTTGTAAAGCTGTTTGCTTCGTTATCCTAAATCGCGAGAAAAAGGTCCCGTTATCAAAACTTTCAAAATATTGCGCTCTGTGATAAATCTGTCGAGGTATCCCAAAAATAATTAAATTTAACTCATCTAAATCGTCATCATCATCGAAAATATGTTCAAACAATTCCATTTATACTTTATTTCGATCACACTTTTATATAATTCTAATTATATTATTTTCTATTGATTAACATATGAAACTTGTCAGTTTGACGTTAAAACAACGCAAAGTAGAACTTAAACCGATGATACCTTCGGCTTAGTTTCACTATTACTTAAGTAGAACTTAAACTATTTGGATTATGGTCAAAAAATGAAATGTGCAACTTAAGTGATACTCAAAGTTAAGGTTCACCTAAGAGGAAGTGGTGCAAACGGCCCTAAGCCATTACGCAATTCACGTCACAGCTTATTTTACAAGTCATGAAAACATTTACTTTAAAATTTATTGGGCAGACATATCACGAAGGCGATGGTTCTTATCCCGCTTCTTTTACCACTAACAAGCTTCAGATTAGATCTCACTCTCAGAGGAAATGGTCATGCCTTGCCGGTGTCATACCGTCATATTACATTTATCAAATAATTGTCTAAAAACGCCGCAATGTTAGCATAAATATGATTAATTTTCTACAGTTGTGCAGTATTTAATATGTAAATAGTGTATATTTAGTTTTCTGAAAAATTTCAGTTAAATGGTGTTAATTGTGGCCAGCTTTTTATTTCTACAACAACGTCCATTATATTATTGTACACTTAAACCACTACATTCAACATAAATATTCATTAAATAATTAAATGAATAAAAATATTTAGCAACAAACATGTTTGGATCGAATGATCTTTTACTTTTCAGCGATTTTTACGTTTTTTAATAAAAGTATTAATAGAGTGTTGTTAACTAAGATTTTACCACAAAGTGTCCATAACAATAATTCTTAATAGTGTCATTTCACTAATTTAACTCTAGTTTTCTACTAAATATAAATATAAATTAAAACAGTATTATTCCACTGTGTAATATTTGTTGTGGACGACCCGTCCTGTACCACATAATTGATGAGGAAAATGTCAGTATGCCGTACTGTCATAAAGTTGGTGTAATGTATACGTAAAGAGCACTTTCTGTCGGTGCAAGTCTGTGGCTTTCGTGTCTTTTAGTCATTCCAATGGAATGCGAAATACATGCTAAATTCAGAGTGCATCTCTTACAGAACCCGAACTTGATTGAGTATTCATATTGAAGACGACTTTGGGAACTACTGTAAGGGTCATTAGGATACTAGGTAATGAGTTGTGGTGCCGTGAATAGATATCATAGTTGTGCAAATATTAAACATTCTGTAACGAATAATCGTATATTATTTAAATTAGATATTTTAGACGACACTGTGTTGGTTTATTATATTTACATTATACAAAAACATTAACTACAGTTCTGTTATTTAAGTGTGTGTATTTAAAATTTTAATTGCAAGTGTCACTTTTTCTTCTTATACCTTCTTTTTTATTAACAATTGTTCAAGAAAGTAAAAAATAAATATTTTGTAATATTATCCCTGAATTAAGAGGGAAGGAAATTTCAGAAATGTTGTGTGGTAGCTAAATGGTATTAAAGAATTTTTCTTGATTTGGTCTACCAATTTATTGGTTTGGGCACTAATACAATTTCTTGAGTCGTTAATGCAGTCTGACAGTCCGTCCGGTATATATTACACGTGACTTCGGCCAGACCGTTTTTACTTACGATGCTCATGGACAGATAGAATATAGCTACCGAACTGTTAACTACAATAATTTGTGATTTAGTTTTGATTATACCCGTAATAGACGTTATTTACTACAATTATTGCTTTATTTCTGTGTCAAGGGGACACAGACGACATCAGAAGTGGTTGATAAAGAAAAAAAGAGTGTTGAGAGACAAGGGCTGTGCTGTTTCGTGCAATTTTTTTTTCTCGACATGGTACAAAAAAGGAGAAAACGATATCAGTCGCCTTTATCGTTCATCAACATCAAGTGAGAAAAATTGTGTAAGAGTAGGGGTAAATATAAGAAACAGAAAAAAAAAATCAGAAGCTGATCAACCGTAAGTTACATACCCCTTCAATTCAATCGTATATTGTTTAGCATGCCAAAACCATTGCGGTTTCAACGATAATAACAGATTATGATCCCCAATTTAGGGACATTAAAACTCTTTTAAGTAATAAAACTTTTATTTTAAATATTAAGATGTATTACTTGATGGTGCAGAAATTGGAAAAACATAGTGCCAAATTTTTTTTTTTTTATTAGGTAACTGTCAATTATTTGAACAAACATATATGATTAATTATGCACAAAGGAGCATTTAGAATGACTTGAGTTGTAGAAAGATACCATTGATAAATAGATATAAAGATCACATATTATTATTTTTGCTATGAAATGGCCTTATAGATGTTTTACATAGTACTCTAATATCTTACAAACAAGTTTTTATCGATTTATACAGAAATGTTATCAGCAGCAACAGTGTTCGATTCGCTAATTTTAAATTTTTGATTCTCGCATAAATAAATCTTTCGAAAATTGTTTCCTTTGTGTATGACGGTTCCATAGGCAAGTATTTTTTTAAATAAATTATTTGTCAAAAAAAAAAAAAGTTGTCTAAGTAAACACAGTATCCTTTGCCTTAAAAATATCCACATAGACTCAATACTTTCTTCTATTATATCAAAATATCTATTTTTCCTTGGTAAAATATGTCAAAGTCAAGAAAATACCCAGAAACCAGACCTTAAATCCTCTCTGTGATGTTTTCAGTAAAAAAGCAGTTTAGTTGTTTATCATTCAGTGTACTATTTGGATAAGAATACGCCACATATATTGAGAATATTGACACAAATATAAAAAGCAGTATCTACTTTTGACAAAAAAAAATACACACAATTGGAAAAATCGATGTACTTATATTTAGAAAAGTAAAAACTAGACAAACTAAATATCTACTAACAATCACGCTATATAAAAGAGTATTTTAATTTTATGGACAACAAAAAAATTTCGTTTGATATTTTCAGTACAATAATGATTCATTTTTATTTCTTATTTTACATAACAAAACACAAAAGAATGCAAAGGAATATTATTTGTATATACACTTTTTGTGGCCATGGGTGTGGACGATAGCGAACTTATGAATATGCATATCAGCACAATTTCGTTATTGATTAAAATACGGGCGATGTTCGATCGTTATGAATAGCAGAATAGAGCATTGATAATATAGATTTTAGAGACAAAACATTATCGTTGTATTTTCAAGGTTTTGTCAATATGTTTTTATGTATTTACATGGTTTTTCTTACAAGAATAATGTGTAAAAATTTCTGAAAACTTACAATCTTAAAAGCTGGTGTTTGTTGAATAATCATAGCGACACAATGCACAGTAATTAATTTTAGCCACCTTTGATCAAAATTGTTTAGTTTTAAGACTCGTATCAAGGTTTATGTTTATTTTTACAAATTAATATGAGATATTGGTCCATATAGCTAAAGAACAACAGTCACATTCAGTAATAAATCATCTGTTTTCTCAAATTTCTTAATGAAAATCAAACATTAAACATCTTAATTAAAAAAATATATATTAATCTAACACAACAAAAATTTGATAAAAAAAAAACAATAAAAACAAAAAATTTATCCGTTTTATCGATCAAGATAGTTTTTCACAAATTGTACGTTATATTCCCTGGTAACTGCATTTACCACTTTTACATGTTTCCACACATTCCAAGAAGATATCAGTACTCCTCGCTTAACCAGAATACCTCTTAGAAATTTTTAAGATATATACGGCCGAGAATAGTGCATTTAAGTAAGAACTTGATTTCTAATGATTAGTGGCTATAGCTACCAGAATTACTCAAAGGGTAACTCGATTAAAATAATCCAGTATATCACTGTTCTGATACTGCAAACATATATTCAAGCACTAAATAAATTGAAAGGAACCGCAAATTGATATCAAAGTTTTAGGCGCATATCTTAAAACTGAAAGTTATATGATTACACTCAATAAAATAGATCTGTCTCAAAATATTAAAAAAAAAAATAAGTTAATTGTACCGCTCTCTAAGTAGAAAATATAATAAACAATGCAAAAGTTGGTAAAATTGGCCATGACATGACCGTAGTTTGTAGACACAGAAACCAGGTTTGT